ATATCTGCTAGCCTTGTCCTTCTAGATGGAAGTGGTCGTGGCTTTGGAAGGTGGTGTCTGAGGATCCTTGGTGAATTTCTGCAGTGCATCATGTAAATACTGCACACTGCTGCTACTGAGCATCGGCAGCAGAGGGAGTGGATGTTTGATGATGTGTTGCCAATCATAGATGTGGCTGACCTTCCCAAAAAGGGCAATTACTGGGTTTCACCTGTCTCTTCCACAGGATTCTGCCCTACGGACACTGTCCAAACCTAGAAGCCCCAAGGCCATTAGAAAGGACCAAAATTGTGTCCTATTTCTTCTCTCACTTCTGGTGTCATCTACTCTCAAAGGAGGGGGAACAGGCCATGTTACTAACATAGCTCATCATACTGACACACGCTCTGGTCTCATGAAGGGCAGCATGCACACCCAGTCCCCTCATGCTGGTGGAGGACCTTTTCCATTCAGTCCCTTTGGTTTTATTGTTATATTCTCTTCCACAGGCACCAGCCATTTCAAGGGACCCTCAAATAGGAGGGCTGAGTAGATAATAACCTAAAAATCAGGGACAGGGTCTGGTTCAGAAACCAATCCAAAATTACCGGCTTGAATGGATGCCCACCACAATCATACTAGCTAGCATGAATCACTGCTGTGAATTTCAGATTTACAACCACTTCTTGGATGAAGAACAGGATTGGTGTTGAAAGCCCTGCCAAGCGAAGGAATCAATATCTTTGGAAAAGCAGGCAATAAAAAGATATTTGAAAAATAAATGGCAATAAAGTTGCATGTCTGGAAATTTGCATGAAAAGCTAAAGGCAACAAACTCAACTGTTTCAAAACAATTTATTTTTGTTCTTTCACAGAACGTGGGTGTTACTGTGTGGGCCAGCATTTATTGCCCATCCCAAACTGCGTTCTGAGACGGCGATGAATCACTTGAGGATGAGGGAGAAAATTGCAAAGCTATAGGAAAAGTGCAGGAGATCTGACTTGTGCAAAAAGCTTGCAGAGGTGTCGTGGACTAAACAGCCTCCTGTGCTGTATTATTGAACCATTCAAGGTTAGCGTCCTAAATTTTAAACGAATTACTGAGTGAAAGAACAGTTCTACATATGAGATGCATCCCATTAGTAGAGCTGATAGAATTTCACAGCTGATTTTGTTTTGGTTTAAACCTCTACAGCTAAATGTGTTTAATAGTGTGATAAGGGGTCTAGGTCATAAGGAAAAGTGGATGAAAGCCAAATGCACTTGCTGACTATAGTTCCTTTATCTGTTCCTTTATATTGTCTTGACATAGATTCTCAGGCAGATTTAAGAAACTCTGACCCCGGCCTGGAGCTGCACTCAATGTAAACGCACAGAATCGGTGTTGTGAAGAAGAGTAATATCAGACATGAAACATCACCTCTCTTGTTTTTCTCTCTCCACAGCTGCTGACAAACCTGCTGAGTTTCTCTAGCATTTTCAGTGTTTGCTTGAGAGCAGAATTGGCACATGACAAACCCTACTTCTCCCCGATTCATATTCACAAACCTCAGTGCTGGCCATGGAGTTTCTAGCTTTCTAATGTGTTATGAAACAAATATAAAATCATTTACAAATGCCAAATGGCAGCAATAATATCTTACATTTATAACGTACCTTCAACATCGTAAAAAGTCAGCTAATGGCATAATCGATCAGAAAATTGACACAGAGTGGCATTAAGAGATATGAGTACATGTGGTCACAGAGGTGCATACCATCCTGACCTGGAACTATATTGCTGTTCCTCCATAGTCACTGGGGCAAAGTCGCATGGAACCATCCCCCACTGCGAGGTATGTCTACAACCCTCGGACTGCAGTGGCTCAAGAACACAGTTCATCACCGCTTCAAGCAATTAGGGACGGGCAAGCAATTTAGTGCCTCCCATTGCATGAATGAATTTTTTAGAAAAGAGACAGGTCATGGAGGCATCTTAAAAGGAGGAGAGAGATTTAGGGAGGAAATTCCAGAGCTTTGGGCGCAGGTAGCTGAAGACAGATGCACCAATGGTGGAGTGATAAAAAGTTAAGTGACTAGGTGGAGACACAGGAATAAGAGTCAACCCCAGGGTCTAGTCCATCATTCAGAGAGAACATAGCTGATCTGTGTCTTAACTATGTAGGCCTGCTTTCTATCCGTATCCAGTAATAACTCAGTTAACAAAAATCTCAGTTTTAAAACTAACAACCGATCGCGTGTCAATCACCGTTTGCAGAAGACAGTTCCAAACTTGTGTAGGTGAAGAAACACATCCTAAGTTCATTCCTCAACATTCTGGCTCTACATAGCCTCCTGGTCGGAGGCTCTCCAATTAGCAAAAATAGTTTGAAAGATTTTAACCAAATCAGTCCTTAACTTCCTAAATTTGTCCAGGTATCATTCTAAGAAATCTTTGCAGTATTCCCTCTAGGGTCAATATACACCACCCAAGGAGAAATAAGGCCAATAATGAACTGCCCAGAATGGCTCAAAGTACTCAAATTATTGTCAGAGGGCTTTGTATAGTTGAAGCATGACTTTTATCCTGTTTGTATTTCAAGATCTGAAAGGTACAAGGATCTTGATGGGCAAAGGGCTGGACGACATGGAGTCATACTAATAATGTTGTACCATCTTAGAGACCTTTGCATTACAACTGACAGCTGGTTGACACCAGAAATTTGTTACAGTTGGTTGCCAGTTGCTGAAATTGAATGATTTGCTCTAGCCAAGTAACTGTTTCTTTAAATTCTATTTTTATTACAAATGTTTTTGTTCAAACAAGGCTAGATTAAGGATACGATTTGGGACCACTATGGTGCAAATACATTAGTCTCTCTGATCTTAGGTTTTCTCTGACTGGATAGCTAACACAATAAAATAAACCATACACTAAAAAACAAAACAAAACACCATGAATGAGAACACTTTTATATTTTTAAAAAAAAGTCACTACCAAACTGAACAGTGACAGCAGGAAAACTGAATAGGGGCGGCACAGTGGCTTGATGGTTAGCATTGCTGCCTCACAGCACCAGGGACCGGAAAGTGATCCCGCCCTTGGGTGATTGTTTGCATGGAATTCGTACGTTCTCCCTGTGTCTGTGTGGGTTTCCTTCGGGTGCTCTGGTTTCCTCCCACGGTTGAAAGATGTGCAGGTTAGGTGGACTGGCCATTCTAAATTGCTCATAGTGTCTAGGGATGGACAGGCTAGGTGGATTAGCCATGGGAAATGCAGGGTTACAGGGATAGGGTGGGGGGGGGTCTGGGGGGGATGCTCTTCAGAGGGATAGTATGAACTTGATGGGTCGAATGGCCTGTTTCCACACTGTGGGGATTCTATGAATACAGATATTTCTGCTATAACACGTGTTTCGTTAACACGAATTGGCTGTAATGCGATTGATGAATGAATAGTGGATGCTGTTTGGATAATGCAAACTTTCTGCTGTAATTTCCCTATAACATGATTTTCTATAGCGCGAGGTCTCACAAGAATGTAACTATCGTGTTATAGGAGAACTATCTGTAGGAGATGCGAACTAAATATTTAAAGTCTTTTAAAAGTGGGGATCTGTGTCATATAAACAGATTAATTACAACACAAAGAATAGCAAAACAAATAATATTTGTAAAATAGACAATTGCAAAAAAAAAAGAGGTAAACAGAAACCTTCATTTCTTTCAAGTGTTTGGCGGGCTTGAGATAGTCATAAAGGATTTCCTGATGAGAGTCCTACATCACCGTAATAGATTATTCTTCATATTTTCTTCCTTAGATATACCTTCCAAATTCCCAACCAGTACCATCTAGAAGGATATGGGTGGCTGCTACTAACAGCACAGTAGGTTTCCCTAGGTCTGCAACTGCGTCAGATGGTGGCTCACCAACACCTTCTCAGGGACAAATAGGGATGGGAAATAAATGCAGACTTTGCGAGTGGCAGCCACATCCAGCAAATGAATAACGGAAGAAAATATTAAGCACGAACTGAAAACATGCATTAATATTTCGGAGAGACAGATGTTCCCTTTGAGAGAGCCAGCACTCCAAGGGTTAATACAATGGCAACAACTAAAGAAAAAGTCTTCTGTCAGTAAAAAAAATGCAGTGTAAGGATTAGCACACACAGAGTTCACTGCAAACTGTCACGTCGAAAGGAACAGCTCGAGGGTGATGCATTCCAATACAGTACTTTGCATAGCTTGGCAAGTTTAAATTAGTATTCAGAGCTTCTGGCACTTTATAAACCTTATAAATTGTGGTCCGCGTATGAGAAATAGTAGAAATATTTTATGCAAAACAGAGACCATGGAAAGAAAGATGCACTCCCTCACTGATTGTATTAGAATTAATAACTTTCTGTGGAAGATTTATCTGTGTGTTAATGCAACTTGGCTCCCGAGTAGTTTTACACATGTACTTGCAATTTTCTTAGGTTGACACTCAACACTCACACCAGGTTCAATCAAGCTGGTTTTCATCAAAATGTAAGGTTGTGGGATGAACATTCCACCGCTGTGTGGAATGGAGGGGAGGGGATAGATTAGCCATATGCTTCAGTATCACAGCTGCATACAAACCCATTCAAACAGCGTCACACTGAGCTTCTATATGTACGTCCCACAGATCGCTAGAATGCCAATCCCAAAACACAATATTTTACAAAACATTTGCCTCTCACCTCTCGGTCCCAACCCCCGTCCACAGCCTCAGGCACAACGATGAGATACTGAAATTTCACAGCTGAGCTTCATATGGGAAAAGCTCCTCTCTGGTGTGGTCAAATTATTAAAGTTCTAGTTACAGCCGAGTGTCAAATCATTTGAAGCTCAGCCTCTGTGTGATAACTGCCACTTTCATTTCATTCAACACTCTCTTGCATTTGCAGATTCTTGAAAACAACATGATGCCGTTCAAAAATAATAAAATGCTGCAAGTCAAATCACACACTTGGACACAAATTCACTTTAATTCTAGTTCAAAGAACCTTACTCACTTGATGTTTCATGGGATTAAGAGGCGGAAATTGCTGCAGGCAAGGAGCCTCACTAGACCTGCATGCAGGGTTTAGAATCAATGATACTGTGTTGTAGTTCTACTTGTGTCCTCGTTCAGATCTAACAAAGCCTTGCAATTTAAACATCTGCTTGCACAAAGCCACATAACTCCACCCTCTCAACCTCTTCCAACTATTACTACCAGCACTTTGAAGCTGTACAAATGACACAAATGTCTGTAGAAACCATACAGACGGCAGGTTTGATGCTGTGCTGTGTGATAGTAAAATGTGAATGTTGCATATAGCTGGCATACTAATTAAATGCAACTCTTTCAATGCAAGCAAGTCCATTTTCAAGATCCTTCCTAGGATACTGGTTGGCACAACCGAATCAACCTTCCTTTCCAAGCAAAATAGATTGATTTTTTTTTACCCATTGAAGGGATGAGGAGCGACACAAGTTGCGGATAATTCCAATTTCCAACCCCCAACTTGCCTATCCAATGGTCTCTCTCCTAGCACTTTCACCCACTCGCGCACTTCCAGCGTGAAATTTTTGACCTAATCAGGGAGTCAAAATTATTTGGGCCTCAGGCTTGCCCCTTGCACCCTGTTAAAATTCAACCTTCAACCATCTCGTTGCTTCACAATACCATAGCAATCAGCTTAGGCATGAAGTGGAGAAGAAAATCATCAAAAATTACACATGGCCACCCCAAATTCCACTGGGTTACCAAGATCATTGACGATCACCAAAATCACCTTCCAGAAGCAGTGGATTCCCACAAATATTGCATGGATCATACACTATGATTTAAAGCTAATCAATTTGTTGAAAGTCACCCAGTGAAGTTTGAGCAAAATGACCTTGATTGAACAAAGTTCAAACTCATTCTAACCTGTGATTGACATTTCGCTCCCTCCTCCCCAGCTAAGGTTGTGGAACATTTTTACTGAAATAGAAGGGGATTTTTACTTTGGAATTGAATATTTTCCCAAGATTTGCAGGATTTGAAAATTGTTCCCTTTGTCTGAAAATCTAGCACTGGATTCTTGTAAATCTCTCAGCAGATCAGGTTTTATCTGTTGTCCTGATCCCAGTCCAGCTTCCACTCACGGATCTTATCAGATGTGCAAAGTTTCTTCACGAATCTCCACCAAGCCCAGCAATGCTCAGAAGTAAGCAACATCACAGAAAACATCTGTCATACAGCTAAGAGTACCAGGCCGAGGAGAGATGATGAGTCCTCAGGATCTGGCTGAAATAGCTCCTTGAGGCCTTGGACAGGTTAGTGGATGGGGCTAAGGGAAATGGAACATGCATGAACTAATGCGCAGACATTAGAATGGACATTGTGCCAATTATAGGTCTGTTAGAAGTCCTCTCCTGATGCCTTCTACCAATGCTACACAAAAGGCCAAGGAAATTGGGTGGATTAGTGTGCTGTACACCAGAGGTAATTTAAATCCTCAGGTCTTGTCATTTTGCTGCCCAGCTGAAAGGCTGTTTGATCTCACAAATCTATAGAGCTTGGCAAGGTTGAACCATGAAATGTCTAAACTGGCAACACTCAACAATTACCATCTGTGCATTTTTTTTTCTGCACCGCATTATCCTTGCTCTGATGTTTGGTAATGTGTGTTCGATTAACTGTCTTTTTGAAATATTAATTACAGCACCCCAGTGTTTCAGTGGGCAAATAAAACCACTTCATGAGCCATGCAGACCACGAAGTCTGAGCGTGCCCGCTGGAAGCTGAGTTAGCTGATCTTAGCAGAGATGGAAACACCCTAGTGGCGGGTGCAGAAGAGCAAACAAGCCAGGGCTTGATCGTTACCCACCCCTTCACGCTGGAAAATGCATACATTTAAATTTATGTGCACCAGAAATGGAAAGAGATATCAAGGAAGAGAAAGAGGAGTCAGAGGTGGACCAGGCGAAAGCAAGAAAAAGGATGGAAACCTGAAGTAAAACTGATAATGTTTTCCAATTCCAGGTGACAGGAAGCAGCATGGATGATGTCATCAAGTTGTTTAGCAAAAATCTGCTCACTATCACTCAGCGTGGTTCCATCAGAGTCTTTAGCTTCTGACCTGAATGCAGCCTTATTTCAAACATGGACAAAGGGGCTTAAACTCCAAAGATGAGGTGACAGTGACTGCTCTTGACATCACGGTCACATCTGACCAACTGTAACATCAAGGAGGGGCTTATAATGTGTCTGAAAAAGGTTGATTAAAAATATCTAGAAAGGACAATAAAGGGCACTTGTAGTGCAGAGGTAGTGTCCTTACTCCTGAGCCAGAAGGCCCAGGTTCTCCAGATGGGTGTCATAACATCACAGGTTATTTAGAAAATATCTAGCGTCAAGGAGGTCGAGCAAAACTGGAGCCAGTGGGAATCGGGAGAATCTCTCCACTGATTGGACTCACACCTGGCACAAAGGAAGATAGTTGTAGTTGTTGGACCTGATGATCGATAATGTGTAGCACCATTTGAAATTCCTCAGATATTGAAGCTGTCCCTGTCAAGATGCAGCAAGACCTGAACAATATCCAGGTTTGGACCGACAACTGACAAATAACATTTGCAGCATACAAATGCTGAGCATCTCCAGCAAGAGACAATCTAACCTTTGCCTCTTAACATTCAATGGCATCACTATTGCTCAATCATTGACTATCAACATTCTGATGGTTATCACTGACCATTAAGTGGGCCAACCAAATAAATACTGCGCTTACAAGAGCAGGTCAGACTAGGAGGCACGTAACAGGTAAGTCACCTCCTGACTCTGCACTGCCAGTCAACCGTCTGTGATACACAAGTCAGGAGTGTGATGGAATACTCACTAATTGCCTGGATGAGTGCAATTCCAACAACACTAGAATCTTGACACCATCTAGGACTTAATTGGCACCACATCCATAAA